GCTAAACTCTGTTCTATCTATTTTCTAGGTTTTCTTGGGCTATTTTATTTATTAATTAATTTTTATTAATTAATATTTCTTTGTTTTTCGAAACACACCCAACAGGCGGTTCTGGTCCGGACGGCGATTCCGGTGATAGAGAGGGGGGGGGGGGGGGGTGACCCTGTCCAGCAGCCCACAGTCCGAACACCGTCCGAACATCGGCATTTGGGTAACTTCCTGGTAGAATTTTTAGATGAATTTGTTTGAGCAGGTTCCTCATCACATGTAGTTTATCCATACCAAATTTCAGCTCAAAATGTGATTGGAAAGGTAGTGAAATCGTTTTTTGAAATTGACTGCGTTTTTATATGTATATTTTGGCGCAGTCAACTTCAAAAAATGATTTGACTGCCTTCCCGGTCGAATTTGGAGCTGACATTTGGTATGGATAAACTAAACTTGATGACAAACATGCTGCAAAAATTTCATCAAAAAAATCCATCGGGAAGTGCCCCAAATGGAGATGTTGGACAGGATCATTCCTCTCTCTCTACACACACACACACACACACACACACACGAATGTTCCTGTCCGGCAAGGCCCGAGGAACTCCCTGTCCGGCCACCTTAATTTGAGTTTGTTCCGGGGGTTATTTTTGGCTGAAATTTTTTGTGTTTGTTCCTCATCAAGTCTAGTTCATCCATACCAAATTTGATCAAAAAGTTCAATCGAAAAGGTCGTCAAATGATTTTTGCATGAAAACTGTGTTTTGTATGTATATTCCGGACCAGTTTTCATGCAAAAATCATTTGACGACCTCCCGATTACATTTTTTTCTCAAATTTGGTATGGGTGAACTAGACTTGATGAGGAACATACACAAAAAATATCCCCCGGAACCACCTCAAATGGAGGTGGCCGGAGGAGCCTCCTATCCGGTCTGGCCGGACAGGAAAAGGACTCTCTCTCTCTCTCTCTCTCTATATATATATATATATATATATATATATATATATATATATATATATATATATATATATATATATATATATATATATATATATATATATATATATATATATTATAGGGTGAGATCACATACAAACCATGTTTAACTTACTAACCTACAAACTCAATAATATGCAACACTTTGAACTTCAATATGCAGTACAAATAATGTAAAGATGCAATCTTTGAATTTTAATATGCAATACAAATAATCTAAATATGAAACTATTATTTTATGACTTGAATATTATGAAATACTTTGAACTTCAATGTGCAATACAAATAATGTAAAGATGATTTAAATGGGAAAACTGGTTTTTATGTGATCCCACCCTTGCATCTTTACATTATTTTTATTGCATGTTGAAGTTCAAAGTGATGCATATTATTGAGTTTGTAGGTTAGTATTTTAAGCATGGTTTGTATTTGATCTCTAATCTCTCTCTCTCTCTCTCTCTCTCTCTCTCTATATATATATATATATATATATATATATATATATATATATATATATATATATATGACAAATATTGAAGTCAGGTATTCCAGACCAGAATCATCATCCGGACGGCGGCATTTGGACGTCTTCCCGGTGAAATTTTTTGATGAAATTTGTATGGCATGTTCTTAATCAAGTCTAGTTTATCCACAAACAAATTCACCTAAAAATGAATTCGGGAAGGTTGTCAAATTTTTTTTGGAAGTTAACTGCGTTTTATATGTATATTCCAGCGTAATTATCTTTCAAAAATCACTTGACGGCCTTCCCGATTGAATTTTTTGCTGAATTGTTTTGTGGATAAACTAAACTTGATGAAAAACATACCATAAAAATTTCATGAAAAACCTTCACCGGGAAGGTCCCCAAAAGCCACCGGCCGGACGGCGGTTCCGGTCAGAAATTCCCGACGGTATTTTTGGCTGAAATGTTTTGTGTCGTATGTTTCTCATCAAGTCTAGTTATCAAATGATTTTTGCATGATACCTGCGTTTTATACGTATATTCCGGAGCATTTATCATGCAAAAATCATTTGACAACCTTGCTGATTGAATTTTGTTCTGAAATTAGGTATGGATGAACTAGACTTGATGACGAACATACACAAAAAATTTGAGTCAAAAATACCACCGGAAACCACCTCAAATTGAGATGGCCGGACGAGGGTCTTGTCCGGCCTAGTCGAACAGGAAGAGCTCTCTCTCTCTCTCTCTCTCTATATATATATATATATATATATATATATATATATATATATATATATATATAGGTTTTGGTTCAAATAAGAACATGATCTTAGGAGAGAAATGAGAACGAATCTAGACCGTTAGATTTGCTTTAAGTGAAATTCAATATGCATTAGATGAAAGTGTAATGTGCATTAGTTGAAATTGAAATGTGCAGCACAAATGGTACGATACAGTGACATTATGTGAAGCTGAATTGTGCATTAGGTGAAATTGAAATGTGCACTAAGTGAAACTAAAATGTGCTGAAATAAAAGGTACGATGTGATGTTATTTATGTACCTTTTATTTCGCACATTTTAGTTTCACCTAATGCACATTTAAATTTAAATTTTTATTCTGCACATTTCAATATCATCTGGTGCACATATCAGTTTCACCAAATGCACAATCCAAATCCACGTAATACAATCCAACGGTCCAGATTCATTCACATTTCTCTCCTGAGAGTCTGTTCTTACCGGAACCGCTCCCTATATATATATATATATATATATATATATATATATATATATATATATATATATATATATATATATATATATATATATATATATGGATTGGTTCAAATAAAAAGTGATCCCTAGGTGAAAAATAAGAACTTATCTAGGCCTTTAAATTGATAAAATAGAAGGATGAGATCAAATTTTAAAGCAAAAACGCGGTGACAATATGGTAATTATGCACAACTTTTATTGGATCCGCTAAAGTAAAAGTGAATCGTTGTGTTGAAAAAGTGCAAAACCAGATAGTAAAAGTGCATCACACTTCGAAATAAAATAAGAAGTATAAAAATCCAATTGTAACTATTTTTAATGAAGCGAGTATGCACATTTACATATCGTATATACACTTTTAGTATTAAGTATTGCACATTTGGGTTTAGTATTTCCTAACGTGATTTTTGATCCACTCCATTCATTTTGAAGTGATCAAGGGCTCAGATCACTTCTTACTTTTCATGGGAAGACTCTTTTGTACTAGAACCAGTCCATATATATATGGAGCGGTTCCGGTAAGAACGGTTTCCCAAGAGAGAAATGAGAACGAATCTGGACCGTTGGATTGTATTATGTGGAACTGCATTGTGCGTTTGGTGAAACTGAAATGTGCATCAGATGATATTGAAATGTGCAGAATAAAAATTTAAACCCAAGTGTGCATTAGGTGAAACTGAAATGTGCGGAATAAAAGGTACGAAAATAACATCACATCGTACCTTTTATTCTACATATTTACAATATTTTTACTGCATATCCAAGTTCAAAGTGATGCATATTATTGAGTTTGTAGGTTATTATTTTAAGCATGGTTTGTATTTGATCTCTTTTATATATATATTGTAACACTTGAGATTTAATATAAACGGATTAATAGTACTACTCATACCAACAGAGGTGCATCTCCTTTTAAGGGAACTCATCACCCAAGAACTCCAAAGTTAAGCGTGCTTGCACGGGAGTAGTCTTGGGACGGGTGACCCCCTGGGAAGTTTCTCAGGGCGCGCACGAGGGAGGACAAAGTGCACGGAAAAGGCTAGTGGCGGTTTGTGAGGACAGTACTAGAGGTCTGGAGTAACTACCTCGGGTCCGGTGGGGCCGGAGTGTTACAGGTGGTATCAGAGCAACCCCGCGACAGTGTGATGACCCGTTTGATATCGGGCGGGCACCTAGCGGGGGAAGATTCTGGGATATGATTTGATTGAGATTTGAGATTGGTTCAAGGACGCAACGAGGACGTTGCGATCCTAAGTGGGGGTGATTGTAACACTTGAGATTTAATATAAATGGATTAATAGTACTACTCATACCAACAGAGGTGCATCTCCTTTTAAGGGAGCTCATCACCCAAGAACTCCAAAGTTAAGCGTGCTTGCACGGGAGTAGTCTTGGGATGGGTGACCCCCTGGGAAGTTTCTCAGGGCGCACATGAGTGAGGACAAAGTGCGCGGTAAAGGCTCGTGGTGGTTTGTGGGGACAGTACTAGAGGTTTGAAGAGTATCTAGAGTAACTAAACCCAAATGTGCAATACTTAATTACACAGGGTTCAGAGAGGTTGTCTTTAAGTGCAAGTGGGTAGACAATAAGAATGGTGTAAAAAATGATGCGCTTGGTGTTACATTGGTGAATTTGAATTCATTAGCGTACACGTCAGAGCCTTTCATCATGGCTTATCAAGCAAAACAAGTGTTTTACGTGATTGATCCTTCTAATACAAGGTGGTCAGTGGTCCTCCAAGGAAAACACCTATCTGTGAATGATGAAAACAGTGATGACATATTTGAGATTCCGCTATCTACCCCGGTGCCTATTGAAGTTGATGATGATGAGGTGGACAATATACATGCAGCTCGTGAGGATCATGAAGAAGGAATATGGGAGAATATTCGTGTTAGTGTATGTACTTGTTTACTTATTTATTCATTCATTTATTTGTTTATTTATTTAGTTAGGTACTTATATATTTATTTATGTTAATACTTGTTATAGATGATAACTATTAATGTTATGTATGTAAACAGGAACATGAATGATCAAGAGCAAAGCGGATCAAGCAACAATAATAGAAAGAAAAAGGGTAGACATCCCACAAAGTTGAAGGCTTTGATCCGCAGTCGTGCGGGTAATTCAATTCTCTTAATTTATTATACATAACTATTTTCATTGTTTACTTGCTCAATTTCTTTTTCATTGCAGCTAATAGGACACTACCTATTGATTTTGATGAAGATGGGAACGCAATGGGTCCAAATAAGAATGCATTTGTTAGTTTCGTGGCTCTCGAGGGGAGGATGAGAGCTAGTATACTACTCCCTAGTTGGGAAGTTGTTACGGAGGGAGTTAAAAACCAGATTTGGGAGGCCATCCAGGTAACTGTTTTCATGTTCAGTTTTGACAGCTCTATTTCAGTCTAAAGCTAGATTTGACGGCTCTATCTCAATCTCACTTTTGTATTGTAGCTCACTTTTGACGTCCCTAATACTCATGAACTGAGAAGAAGATGGATATCATATGCTGGTAATAGGTGGACGGGATTCAAGACATTTTTGACATCATCTTACATATTTGGCGATCGATCTGGGGAAAACCCCACAGAAAAGTATCAATGGATAAGTGCTGAGACTTGGCAAGAGTTTGTACGAAGTAGAAAAGACCCAACTTTTCTGGTTAGAGAAGTTTTTCTTAAAGGCTTTGTTTTGTTCTGCAGATGTTTGTGTTTCTAGTTCCAGGACTATATTGTACTAAAGTTGATACCATTAGGGTATTGTTACCTTTGACATGGTGCATTATCATCTCTTTGTGTTGTGCATGTAAAACAGGAGCGCAGGAAAAAGGCACAGGAAATCCAAGCTCATAATGATTGTCCTCACATATTGTCCCGAGGTGGATATGACCTGTTAGAAAAAAAACTTATGGCTGAGAAATTAAAAGAATATGAAGAAGCTTCTCAGGCTAATCCTTCATTGGGGCTGAAAGCTCCTTCTCCCATACCCCGTCATGTGAAATGGAAGCAAGGCCGAATCAGACGAACAAGCAAGTATACATCAAAGAGGTCTCTCGAGATCGGAGAAAAAATTGTAAGTCAAATATTGATAATATTTTGACTGTAAATATAAATTGACTTGTATAACTACCTTAAAAGGGTTGTGCATTTGTGGTTCGCAGGGTTCTTTAGTTGAGGAGGAAAAGCAAGGGACCTTTGCTCCCATCGGTCGTGATGATATCTTAACGGTGGCTACTGAACGTCCTGAGCACCCAGGTCGTGTACGTGGTGCTAGAACAGGTGTTGGTATTCTTTCACTTTTTGGACCCTTAGCACGTCAAGGTCATAAATCCACACTTTTGACCATAAATGACGTTGATCGAATCAAGAAGGAGATGCAGCAGGAGGTAACACAACAAGTAACAATACAAGTAACACAACAGGTAACTGAACAATTGTCACGAGTATTTGCTCAGCAGCTTCAAGATGAACTTAAGAGAATGGGTTTAACCCAACAACCAGAACTGCACACAGAGGCACGCCGCACTCGTTCTCCTACACATGTCAGTACAAAAGGGAGCAATGCTCCAGAGGATATCTCTGAGTCGGATGATGAGCTATCCCGACTTTATCTGGATACCCCCTTTCACTTAGTAGCCATGGGAAAGGTATTCTAGTTATGTTATAAAAATTCTGAAATAAATTCTACGTAGCAGAACTTCCAAATGACATAAATTCTGAAATCTTAATCAGGTACACAATTTGGGTCCTACTATACACCATGAGAGAATAGATTCAGGTATTGTTAGGGTGGAGGTTGTGGAGGTTTTGGATGCATCTGCATTGGTCCCAATTCCAAGTGAAGAGGTCCAGACAGTTGGACAGGCCCCCAATCAGTTCATTCAATGGCCAAAAAGATTGGTTGACCCTCACGTAAAGGAGTGGACAAATGGAAAGGTGATAAATAAATACCAACACTTGTTAATGAAAAACAACTCTTTTATTTTAGGATATGTCATATATCAACATAGTAAAATAATAAAAAAAAATTAACTGTAATAGTGTCAACATATATCTTCCATCCCCATTTTTGTTTGTGTAGGATAATGACAACCATGATGAGGACAATGCTTCTGATGAGAACAAGGGTCCAATATCACGTTTATTGACAATGACTACTCACCTTGGTCCACAACCGATAGAGCTAATCCTGAAAGAAGAAATAGTTGGGCGGTCTGCTATATCTCTTTTTGTTGGCTCTGAGGAGATATTAGAGATATGTGTGGGGAATCAAATGCTAAGTGCAGTGATTCTACAAGTATGGATAATGTAAGATGAATTTTTTGTTTTTTCTCATTGTAGTTATGTTATTAATCTTTTATGGAAGATAGAAGTTTCTTAAACTTTTTGTTATATATTTATTATGATTAACTTTACAGGCATTTGCATGGGATTTGTGTTCGAAAGGATACTGCACACCTGTACGGTTTTCTTGACCCACATACCACTCAAGATGTGGGGAACAAGCGTGAAGATATTCAAACTTATATAATGACTCGACTGAGTGAAGGAAACAAAGAGTGCTACTTACTACCGTACTACTATCCGTAAGATTTTTTATTTTATTATGTACTTTTCATTTTTACCCAGGTGTACTCCTACAATTTAAGCTGTCCGATATTAGGTCAGCCATACCTAATCATTTTGGATTAAATATAATTCAAGTTGTTACCGTATTTCATTGCAGTAACCATTGGCAGTTGTTTGTATTGTGCCCGAGGAAAAACTTAATTGTGTTCTTATGCTCTTTGGGGAACAAACCAAAGGCAAACATAAAGAGTACTCTAGATTTGTAAGACATAATTTTAGTAATATTAAATTGGTGAATTTATGTAATGTTTACATAACCTATAACTTCACTAACCTTTGTTTTCATTAGGGCGATGCAAGCACATCAAATGACAAAAAATAAAAGGAATTCCAAGCCGAAATGGATTAAGCCAATGGTAAATGATGTTTTTATTTATCTTCAAGTACTATAAGATGTTTATAATTTATATGTTTATGTTATGATAGATAGTGCCCTGTTTGTATAAAAAATTACATTTCAGCTTTGACTTTGTTGATTTTACGAGTCAAGTGTTCAATCGGATTGCAGTTTATTATTTCAGTTTGCACCTTATAGTTGTTTGATTATATTGTGTTATTTGAAGGGATAAAATCAATGCTACTATGTCTTGTGCAAAAAAAAACATTTCAGCTTCTAGTTTATTGAATTTTTTAATCAAGGCTGCAATGTGTTCATTTCAGTTTGCAGCAACTTATTGAATAAGCTCTGATTGATATTGCACCTTATTAGTAATGTAGTTTATTTGTACTTTATTGATATTTCAGTTCGTTCTTTATTGTTTTGAATTTCAGTTGATTTAATCAAGACTTTGTATCTGTTATTTTTGGACCATGTTGGGTAATGATGGAATTTTCAAGTGTGTACTGTATAATATATATTGACTTGATGCCTTATTTATTTGCAGTCTCGAATGCAAAGAGGAAGTTTTGAATGTGGATATTATGTTATGAGACACATAACTACTATTATTTCTGCCAGTGTTGTGGATTCGTGGATGGAGGTAATAAATTATTACTCATGTTTCACTATATTTTTGTCTTTATTTCTTTTACTTAATTTTTACTTATTGGTTTATTGTTTTATTGATCTTGTAGATATTCAATGTTCAAGACCCATTTAGTGAACAAGACATCAACGAGATTCGAGAGCGTTGGGCATTGTTTTTCTGCGAAGCAACTAGCATTTAGTATTTATTTAGTAGAAATTAAACATTGTTAGCATATTAGAAAGTGATATGCAATTTTGTTGCAACTTGCCAACTCTTGAATTTTGATGGTGTAAAATGATGTTTAATTTTTGCTAGTAAGATTAATACTATATATGATTTTTGGATATTATGGTTGTTTTGTGAATATTATTAAATAATGGTTTTGTAAAAACAGCATTCATAAATATAATATGTTTAAAATGTAATGCAAGCTGACAAACCTTTCAATAACGGTTGTTATTTGACTGACATTGAACGTATTTAATAACGGTTACTTTGCGGAACCCATACGGAATGTGCTGTACAAAGACAACGTGTGTGAAGGACATTCGATAACGGTTGGATTTCAGCCGACATAGAATAAATTCTATAACGGTTGCGACAACCGATATGGAAAGCGCCCGAGTTTCTATAACCATTGGAACAATGTCGGTTCCCGAACCGTTATAGAATGTTGATTTTAACCGTTATAGAATGTGTTTTTCCCACTAGTGGTTAGAAGTCATTTTTATGGTTCTATTAGTATATGCATAATTTGTTTTCATTCTTTCTGAATGAGAAATTAGTTTACTCTTGTTGTTTTTAGTTTCTGATTTGCATTATTATTCTTCTGAGCTTATGATCTAAAATGTGGGCAGAGGCTACTCAATGTAGCATAGTAATCTCACACTTCTCTACTTTACCAAAACTCGTACTTTTGTAACCTCTATGTTCTATTAGATTTAAAGTGAGACCATAAGTTTTGACTTTCTTTTTGTATGTTACATTCTGGCTTTATTAGTTTATGTTAACTTGAAAGAGTGTTCGATTGTTTTAGAGGTCTTGGGAGTTTAAGCAAAAGTTAAGCCTTTGAGTTTAAAAGTTACATTTTTTTGTTTACAAGTTATAGTAAATTGAGGAAAAGTAGGGAAAATTGTCAAATAGGCCTTGAACTTACATAAAAAGGTCAAAGAAGCCCTTATATAGGAGGCTTTGTCCGGCCGTCACCATTTGGGCCAGTTCTCGGTGGAATTTTTTGAGCATCGTATTCATTAAGTCTAGTTTACTCATACCAAATTTCAGCTAACAATTCAATCGGGAAGACATTCAAATGAATTCTTGAAGTTAACTGCGCTTTTAACCTCGCAGTTATCTTCAAGAATTCATTTGAATGTCTTCCCGAATGAATTTTTAGCTGAAATTTATTATGAGTTTTATTATATTGGTAGATAGTTTCATTTTTTTAAAACCACTTTTATTCTGATGTTGATGTTTTAGATTATTTGAACTATAAGTTGAGTATTTCTTGCTAAAAGTTATGGCTATAACTTTGTAGATGAGGATGACTATGAGACATTGGTCGAATATGCGAATGGAAACGAGAATGATCCAAATAATGATGGTCAACATGGGAATTTCATTTTTGAACTTCCATTATGTCAGTGCTTTTAGTTTATAAGTGTTCATAATTTACTCAAAGTTACTTAGAATGTTAATGAATATTGTGTTTAACTAAATGTTAATAGTTTGTTTTATGGTACCTTGTCAGGCTTTGTAAGTTTACTTTTTTTAATCTGGAACAATTTGATGTTGTGAAAAAGTTATTAATTTTCACTTACTAGTTGTACCTTTTATACTAGAAGTTACAATGCCTAATATATCTATTGGGTACTTTCATTATGAAATAATTATTGTAACTATAATAGATGTTGGTAGTTCTAGAAGTTATTGAATATTGCCTATTATTGTAGCTTTTGAGGGTTTCTTCTTATGTTAACTAATAGTTATGGATTTAGTTTTAGAAGTTATTATTATGTTTCAATAAGTGTACTGATAAAGTTTTTCCTTTTCAACTACTTTACATGTGTGGATAGCTTTAGGTAACCCACGAAGGTGCAACTGGTTCTAACACTAAGCCATTGGAGATGTTGAGGTGGGGCACCCAAGTCAACCTCTCAAAATAGAAAAGATGAAAATGCCAAGAGCAACACATTTGAAGCAAAGAAGACAAATGAGAACATGAAGATGGTTAGCTGTTCTGTTTGCAGCTGAAGTTTTAGGCGGTTTTGTATAAATCTTTCTTGGTGAAAGATTAACAAAAAATATACCTACTTGTGTAGATGTTTTGAATCTTTAGTTAGATGTTATGCTTTATTCTCTAAATAAATATTTTTCAACTTCAACAGTTTTGCTTGTGATTTTATTTGTGTTATCTTTTTTTCCACTTTAGTTTACTCTCTAAAACAGATCTAATGTTCTTCTTAATGAGTCAAAAACATTGGGTGATGTATTCCTGAGTTCCTCTCTGATACATGATTGGATATTATGAACTAATGTTGACATATGTTGTGCAACTTTAATTGCATCAAAATTAAGAAGTACTACGTAGCATAAAGATCAAAACAACATATTTACCCTAAAAAGGGATCAAAACAAAATATGATCAAACACCTTTTTTTATCAAAGACCCATTTCAAACAACTTGTTATTTGAAAACTACAACTTCTAATTGAAATCTAGTTACTTTATACGAAATATTAATTATAAGGTAATCATTATAAAGTTGTAAAATGATGTAAACTCCAGTATCTCAATAGGTACAAAGTATCATACAATTGTATGAAAATATGGGGCATCAAGATATAATGTTTCATTGTATGTTTCATTGGGCCATCCTTCTTATTCTCATACTTGGCTGACAGTGCGAGCATGATCGAATGGGGTGGGGAGGTGGAGAACACGCAACCTGACGGCTTGCACACCTCAACCCAAATGGGCAGCGGCAATTTCCCAGAAGAAGATTTCGGGAAGGCGGGGTATTTTTGGAACATCCAAATTGTTGACAGTTCAAACAACCCCAAGTCACCCAAAGGCCTTGGCACCTTCATTGAGCATTCAAACTGCTATGATGTCCAGACAGGCAGGAATGAGGACTGGGGCCATTATTTCTATTTTGGAGGCCTAGGTAGGAACTCTAACTGCCCATGAGAGTTGAAAAAGCCTAGGCCCCATTACATCCAATATGTATCATTAAATGTAATCTAATTTTTTCATTTCTTTGAGGATTTAGGCATCAGTTAGTTGTAACTGTGAACGTATGTTTATATAATATATGTTCTCGTAAAAAAAATGAGCCATGAAACTGAAATAAAACTTAATATTGTATTCTCATAATACAAGGTTAGTATGATTGTGCTCTCATTGTAGTCAAAATTTTGATAACATAAATGGAAAGTGCAAGACTTGACTAATACATTGAACATGTCCGTTATGTTTTGAACATCATTGGGCATTGTTCTCCATTTCAGCTTCTCATTTTTGCATCTTCTTTTAAGCTTTCACTCACTATAATTAGCGGCTTCATTTTTAGCGATCTTCTCAAACTCTTTGACTTGCTCAATGTTGTTCTCATCTATAAACAAAGACAAAAACATAATCCACACACTAGAACATCTTGGTTGAGCTGCAATAAAAATGTCAGGAGACTTGTACTATAACAACTCTAACTACAAAAGAAATTATTCAGATTAATCAAATCAATCAAAAACCAATCCCGACTACCTGCACATTGCACCATCAGCAACAAACAACTACAAATTACTTGATAAACAAATACTTCGTATCTCGTTATGACTATATGAGGCAGGATCAAAATTACTTAAAAAGCAATCTAGCTGTCAACTTGATCATCAACTTGATCCATTATGCTGAAAAGTAATAAACATTAAGACCAAGAAAATCCAGTCAATAATATGATTATACATAATTACAACTTCAGCTAACACAGCATAAAGGGGTGTTGATGCAATATCATGCAATACTCGATTTAAAACTCAATGTGCAAAACCCCAGGAGAGAAAAAAAATTCCAAAACAGCTAATGCACCTCTAGTATTATTCAATTAGAAGGCTCTTGTTCCGAGTTCCTAAATCAACTTTTGGGTTTCCTACATCAATACAAGTTACTATAATTAGTGATTCGAATTTGAGGTTCTCTCTGTCAACTAATGCACTTTTATTCAAATTACTTTAACTATTAAATCAAAATAGATAACTTTTTTTGAAAACTCTGGTCCAAAGTTTAGGGCGTTAAATTTTAATAAAAAAGTAAGTTTAAGAGGACAAAAGTGTAACTGAATTGGAAAAGTTTAAATAAAAAAGTAGTCAATGAGTTTCATTCGTTATTCATAAAATTATACTCTAGGCTCAAATGAATTCCATTAGGGTTTAAACATTATAGGAAACACTTGATAGGCAAATGTATAGTTTTGATTGAGTTATGAAAAAAATAAGAAAGCAAAAAACTAACGAGCAAAACTGTGTAGAAAGATAGTTCAATCGAAATAGATTATATCATAATTTAGGATTCACAAAATCAAAAGCAAATTCTAGATAAATTCAATCGCAACGCATATACCTTAGCAAATGAGGAAAGAGTTCAGATTAGGAAAAAATAAGATGATTCAGACCTTCGATCTGTCTTCGATGGGCAGTTGTCAGTCACCACAACTTGCTCTTTCGTCTTTTAGGGCACCAGAATAATCTTGACTCGATCAACGAAACTACTCAGCCATGGAATTGTCGAAGAATTGAATGAGAGTTTCAGAGAGACAGATAGAGAGGCTGGCCCTTTAACCTAAAGTTATATAGTTTAGGAAATTTACAAATATGCCATTAATGATACAGCTTTGTTGATGTAATCAGACAGTTCAAGGAATCAATCGGACGGCTGGAATCACTTCTCACTATTCAGCCTAATTAGGACTTCTCATGGGATCTTTTCTCTCTCTCTCTCTCTCTCTCTCTCTCTCTCTCTCTCTCTCTATATATATATATATATATATATATATATATATATATATATATATATATATATATATATATATAGTATTTATCTTCATTCTTGATTTTTAAGATATTATATAGACATGAAAAATACATATTTAGTACATATCACTTTAACTTTTACACATTTCGTACATTCATTATGACAAAGTTAGCTAATACAACATATTTATATTTGTTATGTTTCGCGATAACAATAGCAAATTGCATTTATACTTTTTGTATCATTCATTTGAATAAGAATGTGAATATTAAAACATTTGTACCAACTCCTTTAGTTTTTTTGAATATTCTATGTGATATTATAAATGTTAATCAATTATAATCTTATTCTTTGT